CTGATAATTTGGTTCCCCCCCCCCCCAACAACGTGAAAGAAATCCATTATAACATGTACATGAAAATGTAGAAACATTGGACACAACTATGGGGCACCATTGTGCAGCAGCAAGCATCACAACAAAAAAGGAACCTCAAGGTTGATCTAGGAAAATGTGTGAAAATGTACAGGGCCCCATTCCTATATTTTGCCTGGGGCCCCCAATTCACTAAATACACCCCTGCTTCTGCAGGTTGGTTATCAAACATTCACATTTTAAAAATTTTGCTTCTATTTCTGGCTGTTTTTTTTTTTTTCAATCTGGCCAAAACTATCAAGCGTTCCCCTTCCCTTTGGATTTAATGATGCAAATCTATTTGACTGATCATTTCTCCTCTGCTTTCACATTTTAATTAATTTTTTTTGACTGTACCAAAAACATAAAAACATCATAATACATTCGCAGATATTTAGGAAACATTCAAAAGTTCACATACTTGTTTCTCCGAAAAACAATGCTAAAGCCAGTTATTCTACTTTGAAAATGTCCATTCCGTGTCTGAATGTCTGTTTTTGTTTTGGTCTGTGTGATTCCGCCCAGCGCCCACTGCCAGTTTAACCAATACTATTTCGACAGCCCGGGTTGCCAGAGAGCGGAAAACAGCGTATCGCAGCCATGGAAGCCAGCAAACGAACTGTATATACCAGTGGTCACCAACCTTTTTAGGCCCAAGATCCCTGACCTCAGCCTTTATGAAAGACAAGATCTACCTATTAAAGAATTGATAGAAAAAGACATCCCAGATTGTACTTCAAATTTGAGGCCTTTTACTTAGTATTTTAATTAGTGATGCGCCGATCATAGCTGATTCAGAATTCAGATTTTCTTTTCTTTTTACTAGCAAATTGGATTCTGATACTGATTTTTAAGCAAATTTCGTGCGGGGTTCGTGCGCTTGCGATGGGCTTACAATGACTTACAAAGATACATAAAAGCTACAAGTGTATGCACTACTTGCTTTATGCAAGCACTATATAGGATAAATACAGGATTTACACTATTATACTTTATCGACACGAATTGATAGGTGAAACAACAAACAGCCACCCACAAATAGTCTATAAACAAAGCATCAGGCTGTCTGAGTTCACATGAACAACGGTTAAAGTTACTCGTCGTCAGGCTACAGAAGAATACCATAATTCCTCCGTTCAATTATGCCACTTACGGCAATTTCCCAAGTTGGAAGGCAAAATAAAAACACGACCTGCCCCCCCAGTCAAATCCAGTTTTTATACACTGGAAAAGGTGGGGAAATGGAAATAACACAGTCCAGTGAAGCTTACGTCAAAATCAATGAAAACGTCGGTCATATTCATTCAAGCCCATACCCTGATGGGCCTCCGTGAGCGGTGCGCTCTCTACCCTACACGGGCCTCGTCATTGTACGTCCACGCAGTACGCAACCCAGCGATTCTTCAATCGCACACAAACCTGCGCAGCCAATCAGATCTCCAAGTCATGCGTCACCAAGCAACCGCCTCAAACTATGCCATAGAGATCAGTGCAGTCGCGCACCTTCTGCGTGACGTGAGCGATCCTCCTGTTTGTTTGTGTAGCTCGAGGATGAAAATGGCGGTGGGGAGAGATCAACGCGAGAATCAAACACACAAATGACCATTTGACTTGGATGACAGCAGCACTGCAGCTCCGCGAGGGAATAAAGAAGTAGCTTATCGTCAACAAAGTGCATTTACAACAACAAACACCCGGAGTTTAACGGGGAAAAACTGCGTCCTGGATTTAAAATAGCTCCTAAAATTAGCCCGCTTAGCTAGCCTTCAACTGGAAGGTTTAACGAACACCACATTAACGGAATTATTCTGTCAGAGTAAGATGAACTGCGCATTTCTCGACTTACCTCTCAAATGCAAGCTCAGTCGTAGGCGGTGGGCTTGTAGAAATATTTGCTTCTGATTGAATGCATAACTAATCGCTCCATCTGGCAATATTAGCCAGCAAACACTATCCTCCAAGCCTTCTCAAAGTTCAACGAGCATCTGTAAGAGGAGAACGGACCAAACAGGTAACTGGAATGCGTTCATGTTTTGTATTTGTTGATGTTTAGTGAAGAGATCATGTAACGGGGCTGGTCCAACTAGAGGTTACTTGATCTGAACAACCAGATGCATAAACATTGCTTAGAGATATGGGTTAGTTTACCAGACAGGTGGAAAAGATCTGGAGTTTACACGAACTGCTTTTCGAACGATTCGACATTCTCTTTTTCGTACGGTGAATTACAGATCTGCATAGTGAGATCAAAATATTTGGATTGGATGTTTTCAATGTGATTGTGTTGCTCGTTGTAGTTAGTGTATTTTGGTTGAAGTGTAAGCTAATGTCATGTCAAGAGATTCAGCATGGTGATTGCTGACATCTCAAGTTTGACAGTGTCAAATTGTATCTGCAGGTTTGACACTGAATCAGAATCAGAAGAGCTTTATTACCAAGTATGTTTACACACACAAGGAATTTGACTTGACGACAGGAGCTTCCAGTGTAGAAGAAAGTACAAACATAGTGCAGACATACATGCGTGACGTGAGCGATCCTCCTGTTTGTTTGTGTAGCTCGAGGATGAAAATGGCGGTGGGGAGAGATCAACGCGAGAATCAAACACACAAATGACCATTTGACTTGGATGACAGCAGCACTGCAGCTCCGCGAGGGAATAAAGAAGTAGCTTATCGTCAACAAAGTGCATTTACAACAACAAACACCCGGAGTTTAACGGGGAAAAACTGCGTCCTGGATTTAAAATAGCTCCTAAAATTAGCCCGCTTAGCTAGCCTTCAACTGGAAGGTTTAACGAACACCACATTAACGGAATTATTCTGTCAGAGTAAGATGAACTGCGCATTTCTCGACTTACCTCTCAAATGCAAGCTCAGTCGTAGGCGGTGGGCTTGTAGAAATATTTGCTTCTGATTGAATGCATAACTAATCGCTCCATCTGGCAATATTAGCCAGCAAACACTATCCTCCAAGCCTTCTCAAAGTTCAACGAGCATCTGTAAGAGGAGAACGGACCAAACAGGTAACTGGAATGCGTTCATGTTTTGTATTTGTTGATGTTTAGTGAAGAGATCATGTAACGGGGCTGGTCCAACTAGAGGTTACTTGATCTGAACAACCAGATGCATAAACATTGCTTAGAGATATGGGTTAGTTTACCAGACAGGTGGAAAAGATCTGGAGTTTACACGAACTGCTTTTCGAACGATTCGACATTCTCTTTTTCGTACGGTGAATTACAGATCTGCATAGTGAGATCAAAATATTTGGATTGGATGTTTTCAATGTGATTGTGTTGCTCGTTGTAGTTAGTGTATTTTGGTTGAAGTGTAAGCTAATGTCATGTCAAGAGATTCAGCATGGTGATTGCTGACATCTCAAGTTTGACAGTGTCAAATTGTATCTGCAGGTTTGACACTGAATCAGAATCAGAAGAGCTTTATTACCAAGTATGTTTACACACACAAGGAATTTGACTTGACGACAGGAGCTTCCAGTGTAGAAGAAAGTACAAACATAGTGCAGACATACATGATAGTGCAGACATACATAGGAATAACACAGTAGGGATGTAATATAACACTAATATAATAAAAGAAAAATTTAATAATGTACTATATACAGAAATAGAAGTATAGGATTTTTTTTTTATTGTTGCTTTGATTTAGTTGAGAATGGAGTTATTTAGATCTTTCAGTTATTTGAGTTTAATAAAGGTAAAACATTGTCTAACAACATTCAGCTTATATAATTAATAATAATAATAATTTTCAGTAATATTAATAACAATAATGATAATAATTATAATAATATTAGTATTATAGTAATTATAATAATATAGTATAATAATTATTATTGTTTTATTATTTTACCAACCAGTTCACAATTATTGTTGTTATTATTTCTGATCAGGTGAATAAAATATTATTTCATCCTGCCATATGTCATTCTACACCGACAAAAATAGGTGTAGGATTTACTTTGAATTATAAATTATCAGCAAAAACATTGAATTAAACATGGAATTTTGAAGCAGAAAGACTGAAATAGTAAAATATACTCCAGTCATAACAATTTTTGTTGTTGTTATTGTCTGATCATAGTGATTAGTAGCATAAAATATTATTTTATCCTGCCTATATCATTCTGTTTGTGGCTTTTTTTCTTTTCTTTTCTTTTTTCTTTTTTTTTTTTGAAGTGCAGTTAGATTCAAAATTAGATGAGTTTAATGAGAGTAATTTAGATTTATTTGAGTAATTGAGAGTAAAGATTTTCTAACAATATTCAATTTCATTATAATAGTAATAATTATTGTTGTTATAATTATATATTTAATAATGTTATGAGGTTGATTATTCTTAGAAATTATTGATTGATTGATCAGGTGCATCAAATATGATTTTATCCTCCCACATATTATTTTACTTGTTCTAGTGCTTTCTTTGTTTGCCACTGGAAAATGTTTTAATACTTTTTGAAGTCCCCAAATATCCAAAGCTCGTGGTCAGAATTCACAGCTCACTGTCACTTCTCTACATTGCAGCACATATTCATATAAGCATGTCCCTTACATGAACCTGCCAGGAGAGAGATAGAAGATGTGGACTTCCGTGTTTTCAAATTGCATTGTGTTTACACTTTAGTTTCGCTAAACAAGAGTGTGTGTACCTGCCTTATAACTTTAACTTTATTACAGTTTCCGGTGAAGGAGCTCATGGATATGTATGTTATGAATTGAAATAAGCAGATAGCTTTTGATTGTAAAGAGCCATGTAAATAGTCTGGTCATAGTCATAACCAGTTGGCTTTCAGTTTTTCTTTGTTTCATTGGTGAAGTCCAGCTAATTATGTAATAAATAGATTTTTTTTTCTAAATCTCAAGGCAAGTAATTGAAGTATTTTCATACAATGTAACTGTTGATAATGTAGTCGCTGTATTGTCTTACGAAGGTCCCTAATGTTTTTGTTTACATATCCTCACAACTCAGTGAGTAAATGATCAGCAGTCAACTCCAGATTCCAGCGTGACCAAAAGGCGACGATATCATGCGACGCGCTCTTGCAGTTTCTTTCCCTGCGAGCGTCTCTCTCTGCCGCAGCATGGAGAGGGGCGCTCAGCTGTGCCTCCCTAGACGTCAGAGAGCTGACCTACATCTTTCTCGAAAAAAAGCTTGTGCAGCAGCCTGTGAGAATGTGTGGGGGTAGGGAGAGCGCGCCAGAGCGAACTAGCAAATGAACGAGTGAGAGGGACAGGAAAGCAAGCCTGCTCAAGCCAGCGAACAGACACCCACCCTGTGCAACGAGAATGGCGAGAGGGGGACCCGGGGCTCAGTGTTCCATGTCTTGTTATCAGATCATGCCCGGGCTTAACAACAACTCAGAGTTATTTTTTTTTAAAGCGCACGGGAACCACACAAGATGGACAAACTCTGCTTCCCCTCTGCATGGAAGTTTGGGCGAGTGCAGCATCTGCTAACTGCTTCCTTTGCCTCAGGAGTTGTATGTACAGATAGCAGAGGTGGGAGGGACAATCTCGCCCCTAAAGTTCAGAAGTACAGGATGTTGTAACAAACTCAGTGTGAGTGAAACATCAGTTTCTCCATGGAGATCATATGCCACACTCTCTGCTATTATAAACCTTGCAATTTTTTGACACCCCTTTCCGCTCTCTCACTTTGAAAAGTCTCAGCTGTTACTAAAAATAGAGCATTTATGCATATTTTAGCTTTTTGTCTGTTGGAGGCATTGAATTTAAATTTCTATCAATTAATGTAATAAAAAAAATAAAAATACGTTTTCTATGTTAATAATCGGTATTCTAATCTTTGGTTTGTGTTGTTTTAATTGTTACAAAAAAATTTATGTTTTAATATCTCTTATAATAAGTTTTAAGGCAATTTCCCCCTTAATTTATTATTATAATAAATGAGCAAACTTATAAATTTAAGGATGTTTTAATGAAAATTTTATCTGGCGTGGGGTTGTTGTGATTTAGAATGAAACAACGCTATGCTCAACTAGAAACTAGTTTCTTCATTAGTTTAAAGATAAATATCTATAATACATATTGCAGATAATGTGATTTTTACACCGAAGAAAAAAACAACAACTTAGGGCCTACTCATTGTCTTCTTTTCCAGTACAATTATTTAAACATTCCTAAATCAAGATGCATTTATTTAATAGGCCAAATGAAAGGACATTAAGTCTTTCCATTTATCAAAATGTAGTGAGTTTTTGCTTAAATCGGATAAAAATATTTTTAATTGGTAAGAAAAATAATCTTGTTTTCCCTTTGAATTAAGTTTTCTTACACCATAGGTGGATATTTTTCTTGTTACATTTTTCAGAAAAAAACAAGGCTTAGGCCCAACCCAATTCTAGCCCTTAGCTAGGGGTGCTCCGATCAGGATTTTTGAGGCCGATCACCAATCGCCGATCACAGGAACCAGTATCTGCCGATACCGATCTTTTTAAAGCCTTCTTTTTATCATTCATGATTATTTATAGTGATACTCCAATCAAGATTTTTAGACATTTACTCAGGGCCTTAATTTCATTTTTGAAAATGGGGGGAATTCCCCTCTTAGGTGACTCTTGTTGGGGGATTTTTTTTAAGTATATATGTTTATCTGACCTAAATGTTTGATCATGCAGTGCATTTTTGTTTTTACAATTGTGCAATTTTTGCACAATAGCTTACACGCAGCACAAGCCTGATTTCATGAGCTGTATGTGAGGCGGCCTTTTACACCAGGTTCACACATACTCCGTTTGCAGTGCTTATGCAGTCCATGTGTGGTGCGTAAGTGGTGCAGAAGCAGCACAGAATCTGCTTCTGATCCGTGGCTGTTTACCACAAACACAACATTTATCCATTATTTTGATTTCAAATCCAAACATGGTCACTGAATATCTTTTTCAGCATTGTGATGAACTTCATTTGGACAACTTTAAAGGCGGTTTTCTCAGAATGTTGAATTTTTTGCACCCTCAGATTCCAGATTTTCAAATAGTTGTATCTCGGCCAAATATTGCCCTATCCTAACAAACCATACATCAATTGAAAGCTTATCGATTCAGCTTTCAGATGATGTATAAATCTCAATTTAAAAAAATTGACCCTTATGACTGGTTTTGTGGTCCATGGTCACATATAATAGATAAAAAGAAAACCGATAGATAGAATAGAAAAAGAATAGAGAAAGCTAGTGTTAGAGGTCTTTTTTTTATTTTTTATTTTTTTTAATAAAAATTAAATCATTTTGCTTCTCAAGTAAATATCTTGATTTAAGAATGTTTAGATATTTGTGCTGGAAAACAAGACAAAAATTCAAAGAAAGAAAATCATTTTTTTGCAAGGTAACTCAATCCTGTTGACAATTATGTTAGTTCCCAAGGAGTTGAATGTGTAAACAAATGACTAGTAAAAGTGTCTTGTAGTCTGGAAGCCATGTGACTAGTAGTGTGCGACAAAAGTTGTAAGCTTTTGCAGATAATGCAGAGATTGCTTGAATATGTATTGAAATTGCAAAATCCAGAGGGACTGACTGCTGTGGGAACTTGTCAACATTGAGCAGCTGTTTTAGGACTCTGGAAAGTGGTTGAAAGTCAACACCTTCTTCTAAATATTTTGCATTTCCCCCTTTCCATCATTTTATTTGTAAAATACTAAGTTACCTGTGAAGCATAAATAGGCCAACTTTTTCAATAAATCTCCCACTGTAAGACTTTGTAAACATTCTTGTATTAAAAATGTAAATAAATGCATCTAGAACATATAAGATTTGATTCCAACTTACAAACTTTACATTCATTGTGGTCAATATGTAGAGAATAGCTTTGTTTCCAATTGGCATTGATCATCAGGGCTCTACGCTTACTTTTCTTTTTAGGAGCACTTGTGCTCCTAACTTAAAAAATTTAGGAGCACGTTAAAAATTTTAGGAGCACCTTCTAATCAATAATCCAAAATGTTATCAAAAAGTAGCCTTTCCATTACGAGGTGATATTTGACTCCTC